AGCAATAAGGGAATGACAGAGCAGGGAACCAGACATCCCCCTGTAGATTCTGCACATACACCCACACATATATTGTACATACAAATCATGTAACCAACTAGTTATAAAGTAAAACTACACCAATGCTTAACCCCTTCCACACTCGTGCCTCTTCATTTTTGACTATGTGTGTCTACTAGCCACAGGTCTTGTTCCTCCTAATGTATCTTGACATTCTTCCAGTTACACTCTAACCCTCATACCCTCCCACAAAACTTTGCTTAGACATCCAAAGAGCACTCTACCGTACTTCCTCTCACATGGAAATGTCACATTTATCTCACTAAAATGGAATTCTGTTATGTGTTTGAAACTTATTTAACATCCCCTGTGGTATACAACCCCATACTTCACACTAAGTCAAGACCAATAGGTACATATGCCTGATTGTTTGATGACAAAAACCTCCAAAGTTTTGATCTAGTTATTTTTCTGTCTTGTGAACTTGATTCATCTGTCAATTATCATGTGATTATTATTTAAACTATTTACAAGAGGCATGTTTGCCATAGGATTTTTTATATGAACACAAGACATAAATTGCTAGTTCAAATTCAACTCATCAATTTAAGAGTCCTTCAGAGAAAAGCAATGTAAATATTGTCTGCAAACACCTGGGAAATCCAGCCTGGACCTCTTCTCCTCCACCATCTCTTCCTTCCCAGGCCCGTCTGAGTCTGTGTCTCCCACCATACAGAATGCCCTCTCATTGTTCAGCATGACTGCCACGGTTAGAGCTGCCTCTCCAGCACATACACATCCCACCACACACAGAAACATTTTAAACCTCTTCCTGCTGTGTTTGGTCAAGATTTGGGCACTTCTGGGGAAATCAGAGTCACCTAGAGAGCTGGACCACATCCCTAGGGTTTCTGACTCTAGAGTAGGGTCTAGAAATCTGTATCTCTCACAAGCTCCTGGCTGCTGATGCTGAAGATCCAGATGAGAATCACATTTGTACATTCTCAACTTGCTGTGTCTACCTGGATGTGGCCCCTGCTTTGTTCCAACCATCAAGATCCCCATTAGCCTCCCCTTTGGGGTTACTCCTCCTGCATATTGTGAATGTCTTAATCATCCCTCCCACATGACCCCTCTTCATTCCCTTCTCAGAGGTTAAGGACTAAAGTGCTTTTATCCAAAGTTATTTCTTCTTCAAGACTGCCATCTTAGCATTTCCTTCTGCTTTCAAAACCTTTATTCTTTTCTTCTTATTCAAATATCCTTACTCTTTGCTACCCCAAACACATACATAGACAGGAAAACCAGAGCAAATATCCCCTTAATAATGAATTTCTCTGTGGTTATCATCCAATCTCTTGCTAAACTTTCTCTTCAAACTTCAAGAACGGTTAGGTCCCCTCCCTGTCTCTATCCCTCTCTTGACATCCTCATTTAACTTCTAGACACCCCCATATTTCCAGAGTCTCATTTGCGAAGGACCACACTACCACTGAGCTGAAAACAAAGGATGTTCTTCTGTCCTCATCTTCATTCTGCCACATCAGAGTTTTTCTTTCTTTCTTGAAATCCATCCCCCTAAGTTCTTGCTGCCATGGTCCCCTCAGTTCACACTGGTTCTTCTCCTATTGATCTTCTGCACCTTCATTGTAAAGTCTTCCCTCCATCCCCGGAGGTTTCTTCAAATGTGAATGCAACCTGGCTTCTGTCATTCATCCTCTGCTCCTGAACCTCCGCCCTGTGTGTCAGGATATAGTGATATACAATATAGTGTTGTTCATACAAAAAGAAAGATGAAATTATGTTATTTGCAGTAAAATGCATACAAATGGAGAACATGATATTAAGAAAAGCAAGTCAGGCTCAGAAAGACAAATGTATGTTTCTCTCATTTGTGGATTCTAGATAGTTACATAATACATGAATATCTTTATGAAATTTATTAATATATATAATGAATACATGCCAATAATTACACACCACATGCACACACATACACTTGCATGTGCGCGCATGCGCGCGCGTGTGCGCACACACACACACACACACACACACACACACACACACTCACACACACACACTATCTTAGGGATTTCAATAGAATTGTCTCTGCCCTTTAGACTATCCTGACCTGTTTATCCCAGTATGCCAGATGCAGATTATGACTACCTACATGGGTCATTATGTGATCCTGTAAAAATTCTCTTGAGGCATTACTTCCCCTTTCCTGGTTTGTCATCAATATCATGATGGCTCTAAAACTATGTCCTAGAGCAATGGTGGAAACATGAGAATTGCCTTTTAATCTTCCTCTCCATAACCTCTTACATCTAAGTAATTTTCACATCTGCTCCTGGGCCTCCTACCTGCCCCATAACTTCTTGTCTCAATTACTCTAGAATTCTCCAAACTGATCTCCCTGTGGCTTTGTGGTTCTCAAATCCACCCTTCATGCTGTTATCTGAAGAGTCCATGTAAAATGCAAATTGAAGCGTACCTGCCCTTGCTTCAGAGCCCGTTGCTGACAGGATGAAGTCCAGTGTACCCAACAACATCACGGTTGAATGCTACTCATTTCCCCAGTCTCCCTTCCGGCCACTTCCTCTCTCACACCGCATTCTGTTCTTGTTCCCAGACCTTTGCCTGCCCTGCCCTCTACACCTGCAATGTTCTTTAAGCCTCCACTCACATCTCACCCTGCCTTTCCCAACTCCCGCCCACCCAGTCTCCACAAGGATGTAATACAGCCTGTATTTCTCTAAATATTCTAGACAGATTTCTATTGTTGTACCTGGCACATTTCCTTTATAACTATTTTAAGGTATTTCCTCCTCCACTAAACAGTATGCTTTCTGGTATTCTATTGACACACAGAAAATATTGGATAAAAAACTAATAAATATAGCCTAAGGCTTTTCAAAAAACAAACAAGCAAAACACAACCTATTGTAGATCAAATCTCATGCTTTATATTAGGCAAGGACTAGAAAGAAGTTCTTCAATCCTCCTTTAATCAAAAATATATAGACCAAATCCTGTCAAAATTAGACAAAAAGGACCATTGCAATAATCCTACCTTGTTGAAACCAGGCTGTGTGTGGTTTTATTTGAGTTAGGTGACTCATCCTTTTAAAAACTACCTTTGCTTTCCCACTCTATCTGCATAGGGTGTTTTTATGAAACTAAGTAGTTTCGAAGAATTTTCAGATGTATATGTTATTTTCCTTATAAATCCCTGAAGATAGCTAAGAAGAAATCACAGTCATTTCATACATGAAGCAATGGGGGGGGCTAAAGGATTGTCATTTTTCCACACCAGTGACTAATGTGTGGCTATGCAACTCCTGATGCTTAAACCAGCAATCTCCTTTACCCATTACCTTACCTAGCCTACGACTACTCTCTCCCTCCCTCCCTCCCTCCCTTCCATTCTGTATGTAATAATGAAATACAAATTGATTTGTGAGTCAGATATACTCTAGACTTTTTACAAACTCAAGAAGATTAGAGTCATCCATGTCCTCAGACATATATGCATGAGTATGTTGTATCATTTTCGAAGATACTCAGTCTGCCCCAGATGAATTATCTCGTAAGCCAGCAACTTCAGCTAAAGTGGATCAGAGCCACTCAACCTACCACAGTAATTTCAAGCTAAAAAATACTCTAAACTGTGTCTTGTTCAACCACTAAAGGGTGGTCCAAGCAGAAGAGTCTCCAGTAATTACTTGACCATCTTAATTCTCAAATCTCACAATTGCTAAAGACAATGCTAGCCAACTTCAAAACCCTGGAGAGACATTTTCTATAAATTCATCTATCTGTCGATTATTGGTGAATTTTTTTCCTAGCTGTTAGTGCCACAAACTGCCCAGAGTCTAAATTGCATCTATATTGCTATTAATTGAGATTTTGGTGAATAACTTAGCCCAGTTTGCTCATCTATAAAATGGATCAAATTAAATAATGCATGCAAACTGGCAAGCACTATAGTATCTTCAACAACTTCACAGAGTAAGTATTCATAACTATGATAACTAAATCAATAACTCCTTTATCTTTGGTATGATTTCATTTTGAATGTGTGTGTGTGTGTGTGTGTGTGTGTGTGTGTGTGTGTGTGTGTGTGTGTTTATGTTCATGTGTGTGTATTTGTGTGTGTATATGTGTGTAAGTATACATGTGTGTGTGTGGAGGCCAGAGGCCACCATGGGTTATCTTCCTCCACCATTCTCTACATTGTTTTTTAAAGCAGGTCTCTCACTGAACCTGGAGCTCACTGACTCAACTAGAAAGTCCAAAAGATCTTCCTGTCTCTGCTTCCCCATTGCTGAGAGCACAGGCACATACCTCCATGCCTGGCTTTTTATGTAGCCCTGGCCCCCAAAATCAGTTCTCATTCTTGCACAGCAACTGGTTTACCAACTGAGCCATCTCCCCAGCCTCCACTGACATAGGATTCAGCAGTAATTCTTTATAAGTAACCACCAGCCTTTCAAGATAAAACACATTCTGTGTAGTAAAGAGAACACAGATGACTTCTTGTCATGAACATAATCCTCAAACAACCCACTTGACCTTCTGTCACTCATCTCCATAGTGATAGGCAAGGGTTGGTATACGGTCATAATAACCTGGGTCATGTGCATTTAACTTCTTCCTGGGTAGTACGAGGCATTATTCCAAGTTCATCCAATCCTTGATCTTGTGCCCAAAATATAAATTGTAAATCTCACTGGAGTGAATCTTGACAAGGTAGAAGTGAAACAAGAGGTCACTTTGAAGGGCTGCTGTGTGAGAGACAGAGGAGTGTCTCTTCCATCTACATGGAGTTTGGATATATTTTCACCAAGCAGCAGGAAATATGACTCATTTGAATCTACTTCAAATCCGAGATTTCTCTCTGTCTGAAGAGAAAACAGCATTATGATCATCAGTCTTTGGCATGCTGACCTGATGACCCCATCTATACCTGGTTGTGACTTTTCCATTTGTTTAAGTCTCAGGGGATTACAGCAAACGTGTGTACCAGGGCGTGAGAGTGAAGCACACCGTCAAAGACCTCCTGGCAGAAAAGCGATCCAGGCAGACAAGTAACTCCAGACTCAACGTAAGTCCTGATTCAATCCCCCTAGAGTGTTGCAGGTCTGAAGGCTCTGTTAAGTGCCCTCTCTCCTCTTCTCTCCTCCTTTATCTGACAGCTCTCATTCTCCCGCCTTCTGGCTCTGATTTCCCTCAAGGAAGAGCCCTTTCTCTACCTAGGACACACTTCAGAAATACTTTGACATTTTTATTCCTCCCTGCAAGGACCATCTTTCCTTGTTGAGGACACCCATGTCATAGTAACTGGACTTGGTTGGTGACATCAAGGTTTGTGCTTGAACTCTTATTCTCTACGCGCTCCTCGTTGTCCTCCATTTTACAATGTTTTTATTGTTTGTTCGTTTCATTTTTGGAATACTATGTGTATTGCTATTCATCTGCTGTTGGTCATATGATCCTGGAAATAAAATGTGTTATCCCTTTGTGTCATGTAAATAACAGTTCATAAATGCCAGCCCTCCTCCTACTAAGGTACCTGGTGTAATGGAAGGAACGTGAATAGAGGGGCACCTTTGCCTGCCAGGGACATCTGTGTATGTAATCCCTGGAAAGTCTCTGAATCCAACAAGAAATGAAGCAACCAAAATGACCTTTAGGGTTCCTCATAATGTAAAAATGCCCAATGGTTTGTCACCTCAAGGCATATTTGTTTGCTACTGGCAATGTTTTCAGAGCTGTGAGATCTAATTAGCCGACTGCTTCAGCTAGTGACAGTAGAAATGGAGTATTCCCCGGGCTTTCCCACATCTCCAAGTCACTGGTTGAGAGAGGCTCAGGGCTTGAAGATACAATGCTGACCTTTAATATACATCATATTCTAACCTGATAGATGTGATTTATAAAACAGAGTGGCCAAATCCAGTACCTAGCACTGGGCATACAGGGGAAGTACTTCCTCCAGAACACCTGCTGACATTGTTGCTACCACCTTCAACACTGCTCCAATAGCAGACTCCTATGACATAATTGGCACTCAGGGCTCAGCTTATATAGAAAAATCTACACAGCTGGGCTGTCTGATTCCCATTCATGGTATATACCAGACGCATCCAGAGGGTATGTTAAAAATATTGTTACCAGGCTGAGAGGAGACCAGAGAGTGGGCTAGGGTGTTTCCGAATCTACTCAAAATGAACAGTTTCCATGAGCAAATGATTGGGATTGCTCAGCCACAGCTCCAAACAAGAGAATGACTGCATCTTGAAACCTAATAAAAAGTCCCAGGAAAACATGGAAAATTAGGTAGACAAGAAGCACACATAAGGAAACTACAGGCAAGAAATGGGCTTTGTATCTGTACAGCATGAATGAGGATAGAATTCACACCTTTTGGTATCAATATCCACATACAAGTAATGAGTCAGAGTAACAGATTTCTATAAGAAAGATGTGCCATATACAAAGACAACAAAGCAGGATCTATCCACATGTTGAATACATGCATGTTTTTAAAAACAAAAGGATTTCATGCCTAAGACCTATAAATATCTTTTTTAACTTTTTCCTTTTTAAAAGATAAAATAAGCACAACTAGTAAGTCATATTAAGTATCAACCTTTTTGTCAAATCTTAGAGACTTTCATATGATCATATTCATCCCAATCCCTTCCCCTATCTCTTTCCAGATCCACCATCCACCTCCCAACTTTGCATCCTTTTCTTTCTATAACCCATTGAGTCCAGTTAGTGCTGCCCATATATCCATGGGTGTGGGCCATTCACAAGAGCATGGTCAACCTCTCAGGGTCACACTAATAAAGAAAACTGACTCTCCCTCCCCAAGAAATCAGCAATTATCCATAACTCCTCTCTTGGATGTAGGACATATGAACTCCTGAACCCCTGTCCCTTCCATGCTGGAATGTTAATTGGCTTCATCTTGCCCAGATCAGTACAGTCAAACACAGTGGCTAGGCATTTTGAATGCAGTGATCCTGTCATGCCCAATGGCTACTGTTTTGCTCTGGTCCTCCTTTAGCTCTTACACCTTTCCAACGGCTCTTCTGCAATGGTCCCTGAACCTTTAGAAGAGAGGAGTGACACAGATGTCCCATTTGTGTCTGGACACTCCACACACACTAATTCTCTGCACTCTGACTAGTTGTGAATTTCTATGTTAACCACCATCCACTGCACAAAGAAACATCTCTGATGAGGTCTGGAAGCTGTACTAATTGAAAACATATTATTCAATTTCATCTTAAAATACAGATTCTTGGGCTTGGCCCACTTATGGTGAGGAGGTCCCTGAATGACCATTTTGACACTCCCGATAGTCTCCTTGAAAAAATCTTTTGTACATTGCTATTACAACAAAGAATAAGCACTCTAGCTTCACACAGCACAGTGGCTTCTTATCGCTTACCTAGCTAAGCCATTGCTGTTGGCCTAGAACTGAGAAACTGGGAAACAGGTATGTGCAGCACACATACAGTCTACTAAATACCAAATAATCTGGCAAGAAGAAAAATACCTATACATAAAAATTATACACTCATATAGCCAAACACTAAACTGAATGCTTATGACCAGACAGTATAGCCATGCATTATGAAAATAACTATAATATTTATATGAGGAAGGATTGAGGTATATTTTCTGTGTATTATCTCATTTCATGGCACATTATCCTCTGAGATTTGCATTTACAGTTTCCCATTTTACAGATGACTATGTTGGAAACAAGGTAAAGACAGGGGCCCATACACTGGAGACATGGCTTGGAGGATCTGAGTTAGGTTCTCAGCATCTGAGTTAGGTGGCTCACAGCCATCTGTCACTCCAGCTCCGAGGGATCTTTCACCTTCCTTTGGTCTACATGGACACCCTCACACAGACACAAACACACAATCTTTATTTTTTTAAAGTGTACAGTTTGCAAATAGTGGATTCACTGAGTCTTAATTCCATATTTAAAAAGAAAGCTCAGACTAAAGTAGAATAACCTTTGACACATGAAAATAAGGAGAGAGAATATGAGCGAGAATGAGAGAGAATAAATAACAGAAAATAATAACAGAAAAAGTAAGTCACCTCCAGTCATGGTATTGATGAGGCCATTTTAGGTGGTACAAATTACCTTATCTCCGTGTTCTCATTGTATCATCCCAGTCATCTTTCTAACTTTGGGGATGTTTAAGCTTCAGTGATTAAATATGTAACGAGATGTGAGCTCATTTGGACCTTAAGCACCTCTGAATTGACTTTACTGTGTGCTTACAATTTAAGAATACTGGGAAATCTGTCTTGAAAGGTATTACCATCAGTCACCACCCACTCAAAGACCTATTTCTATCCCTGCTGTAAATATAACTCAGTGGGCAAAGCTTGTAGAGTACTCTGCAGCCAGCAGACCTTTAATCACTGGGCTCTGATCTCAGGATCAGTGCAAGAGCACTTCTTTTTCCTTATATTGATACATAAGGATGCAGTGAGTCTTCAGTCTCAGATGGGTTTATAATGAGGAAACTACTCATGGGCATGTTTAAAATTCTCAGTTGATAGCATGGCTAAGGACCAATGACTAACGGCCCCAACCAAAAGATGAACTCCCAAAGGTCCTATGTCAATCCTCTGAGATCTGTGGGCAAGATACATGATAAAATATCTTGAGAGTAGCTTATGGGGGTACACTTAATGCAATCAGGTGTGTCTTTGTAAGAGCAGTTTTAAAAGAGAAACACAGAGAAGGTACAAGATGAAAAAGTAAATGATCCCTTTGTTGAAGACAATAAATCAAGGAATCCCAGCATCTGCAAAAGCTGGAAGAGGCAAGGGATAGGTCCCCTAATGAGTACCCCATCAGGGACAATCTTGCTAAGGGCCGGGTTTGGGATATCTGGCTTTCAGAACCATAAGAGTGCATTCAGAAGCTCACTATGGTAGGTTATAGGTGTCCTAGGAAACCAACGCATAGATTATGAATAATTAGGTCTCCTCAACTGATAGGCTTCCAGAAGTAGTTATTTAGATGCCCATGTCTCCATGCTGGCTCCTTGTGACCACTCTCTGAGTAAGGTGACACCACTGTGGTTTTCTACCTTTACCAAAAAATTTCCTCAAGAACAACTTTCATGATTTTACAGTAAAGTTTTGTAATATATCATAAAAACAAAAATCTTATATCAAGCAAGATTTTCACAAAATCATCTCTATTTAGTTAACCTGTTATAATATGGCGTGACAACTGCTGTGTCTATATAGTTTTCAGTTGTGGATTTTCTTTATATATTTTTCTCCAGTATATTTTTCTGTCATTCTTCACCATTTCACTGGATTTCTGCTAGGACAAATAGACACAACTCATCAACACCTGGTATTAAAAATATATAATTAGATTTCTGACAGATGACATTTTTTGTAACTATACTGCAATTGAATTCATAAGAGTTAATCGTTTAATCATTTAACTTTTTAAGGATAACATCACAAAATTCAATAAACTCTTATCTGTAGAACAAAAAAGAAAAATCAATAAGCCTAATTGCCACCATTTTTCTGTCCCATTCTGAAATCAGCCAGCTATTCACAGACTATTTAGCTCACTAATCAAGTTTTTCTTGAGCAATCATAAAGATTCATCTAGAATCACTAAATATACAGCAGCTGGCACGAGGGGAGAATGAAAAGCTGTTCGGAATTTCAACTGTGTGGGAGGGTAGGGGAGTACCTTGTCGTTTGTGGGGGAATAAGAAGGGCCTGGAACCATGGTCTGGTAGTTAGTCCTACCCACACATTGGTGGAGATGGTGATGGCTTTCATTCTGAGGACGCCCACGGAAACACTGCAGTCAGTGACAATAGCCAAGCAGATGTGAAGGTTTGAGTTAATATTTTACATAAACATGAGGAAAAATAAATAGAAATATCTGGCTCTGCTTTTGAAAGCCTTTAACTGAAGGAAATGCCAAGAACTATTCCATGAAGGAAATATTTGGGCTATGCTGTCTTGAATTATGCATAAAATGAATGTAAAACAAAACTCACTTTCACATGGTGTGATCCTTTC